AACCTATAATGGAAAAGAAACTGAAAAGAAAAAAATATATGTAGGTATATGTTTAACTGAATCATTTTACACCTGAAATTAACATTATGAACCAACTACACTTCAATTAAAATTTTTTTAAAAAAGACAATATGTGTATACACACACACACACACACAAACCTATACACAAAAGTTCCTAGCAGCAATTTTTAAGGTAGCCAAAAAAAGGAGAAACAACTCAAGTGTCCATCAGCTGATAAATGGATAAACACAATGAAATATTATTCAGCCATAAAAAAGAATGACATACTGAGTGAAAGAAGCCCAGACACACACAAAAACCACATAGTGTAAAATTCCAATCACATGAAATACCCAAAATAGGCAAATCTATAGGGGCAGAAAATAGATTAATGGTTTCTAGAGGTTGGAGGGAAGGAAGAAATGTGAGTGACTGCTAATGGGTACAGAATTTCTTTTTAGAGTGATGAAATGTTCTAAAATTGATTGTGGTGGTGGTTACACAACTTTGCGAACACACTAAGAATCATAGAATTGCATACTTTAAATGAGCAAGGTGTGTGCTATGTGAATTGTATCTCAATAAAGCTGTTAAAAAATAATGCCAGAAATTTATCAAGTGGTTAGCTCTGGGCCAGACAATGTGTTAGCTCTTTCTACCGATGATTGCATTCATACTCACGAGATCACCGGGAGAACAAAAAAGATTTTCATGACTCCATTTTACAGATGAGGAGACTGCAGTCAGAGAGGTTAAGCGAGATGGTGGTTAGACTTCAGAGGCTTGGCATTTGAGGTCCATCAGACTTGACTCTTACCCTACCCACACTCAATGTTACCTCCCACCCCTGCTTGTTCCTCCCCCTCAGCCACACTCCTGCCCAACTGACTTGATTTCCGTTCCTTTTACTCATGCATTCTTTCCATTCTCCAGGCTTCTGCATTTTGCTGATTCAACACCTCTGCCCAGCTGTTCTTTCTACTTCACTCCCTATCAAGTCTGTGAAATTAATGTCTAAGTGTGAGGGAGAGAGAGAAAGAGAGAAGGTTCTGACTCCAAGTTTCCAAGCCTCACTTGGAAGTGAAGGGTGCAGGGAGGGGCACCAACAGGGCTTCTTGTGGAAAAGATCAGGGCTTGCCTCCTCTGTCTCCTGAGGACTTGGCCCTCTACACATGTCTACAGCTTTAGGAGCCCTTGGCCTGGGTTTAACCCAAGCTATAACTCAGGACATGTGTGCTGGAGAATGAGGTCAGATTTTCCCCTGGCAGTTCGCCAGGCCTGGGGTGAGCAGGTGAGAAGAGCAGGGCTCTGTCCAGTTTCTGACCCACCACCAGTTGCCTTCTCCTCCCCTCCACCTCCCAATTCAGAGCCTTTTCCCAGAGCCTTTTAGAATCTTTAATAAGTATACTAATACAATAGAACACTATTCAACCTTAAAAAGAAACAAAATTCTGGGTGAGGATACAGCTTAGCGGTGTTACAGAAATGACAGGCCAGTCAAGAAACAAGCACCACTCGGAGGGTTGGAGTACTCAGATGTATTACGCCGTCGGGCTCAGAGGGGCTTCTGCTCCAAAGCTCTGAGCACCTCCAAGACGTGCGCATGAGGTTTTATAGGGTAAAGTACAAGCTTGGGGTATTCGGCCAATAGGCATGGAACAGCTTTAGCAGCATTATCATCACATAAGTGGAGGCGGGGAGGCAGCAAACCAACATTCCAAAGCCAGATATGTATCTTTGAAAATCCAGCTGGCTAGCAAAAAAACATAAACAGCAAACCAACACT